GAGGTCGGGGGCGACGCGTCGTACGAGACGGCCATGAAGCAGGTATGGAGCGGTTTGATGGGTGGCCAAAGGGGTGGAGGGATTCGAACTCCATGCGTTTCCAGGTACCCTAGCTGCCCTATTCCCATATTTCTCCAAGTGTATAGACGGACCTACCCCTTAGCCAACCCCGTAACAACCTCGTGCCTAACACGCCACTGCCGCTTCCATCCTCCAAATGCCATACACGGCACAGGCATCCCTGAGGAACCAGCGTGTCCTCACCAAGACCCACAAGAAGATGGAAGCGGGGGACACACGGGATCCTGTCTTCCGCAATTACATGAGGACCGCGGGGGTGCTGGCGATGCACGAACTGGAGGAGCGCCTTCGCCTCGCCAAGATTAAGACGCGGACAATCTTTGTACGTTAACTAGACCCTGAGGCATGGGTTTGGGGATTGGGATGGAACGTGAGGGCGGGGCAGGGAGTGGCAGGGTGACTGGGCACCTTATGGCAGGGAGGAGATGGCCGTGAGTGGGAGGGAGTGGTATGGCTTGGAAGGTCAAGGGACGGAATGGACAGTGATGGGAGGGAATGTATGGGCATGGCATGGAATGGGAGGGTATGGACAGGGACGGGAGGGAATGGATTGGGAAGGCATGGAATGGGAGGGTATGGACAGCGATGGGAGGGAATGGATGGGGATGGCATGGAATGGGAGGGTATGAACAGCGATGGGAGGGAATGGACGGGGATGGCATGGCCTGGGAGGGTATCCCAGGGATGGGAGGGAATGGATGGGGATGGCATGGAATGGGAGACTGCATTGACTACTTGGCTACCTCAGCTCTTAGGGTCCCATTTAATAAATGGGCATGGCATGGAATGGGAGGGTATGGACAGAGATGGGAGGGAATGGGAGGCCATGGACGGGGATGGGAGGAAATAGGAGGGAATGCACGGGGATGGGGGGGAATTGGAGGGAACGGGGTAGGAAGGAATCACTGAGAATGGGAGTGGGAGTGGGAGGGAAAGGGCCGCGAACAGCAAGCTCTCGCAGGATTTGGAGAGAGAGTCAGGGAATAGCAAGGAATGAGTCAAGTGGGACGGGGAGGGGGCCTTGGGAGCGGTACCAGTGGGATTGGTGGGGTTTGGCCAGTGAATGGCATGGAATGGCAGCAATTTGGTGGGACCGGGCTCTCTTTTTTCCACACCCTAAACCCTACCGTGGCCCCTCTGTCCACGTCTCCCCTCTATCCCCTCCTGAGCTCAATCCGTCTAATCATACAATATGACTATCATGTGCCATGGTACCATGCCTCCTTGCCAAGCGCTGCCCTCCCATCTACGATAATTCAAGGCACACTCGTGCCCCCTCTCTACACCCACCCGCCTTCCCTGAACTCCCCCCATTGCCCCCTACCCTAAACCCAGGTCCACACAGCCATGGCCATCCCCCCCCATGACAGCATGGAGTGGACCTCAAAGGGCCAGTTCGTGAAGGCGAGCCCTCACGAGCGCCTCTTCTCTGACGTCTCGATCAGGCCTGGCGGCGGCGTGGGGGAGCCGTGGTATGGTCGTGTCCTGGTGCTTTTCCATTACCAGGATGGGGAGGTGGAGAAGCGCGGGGCGTTCATCCAGTACTACACCGAGGCGCAGAAGCCTTGCCCCATCACCGGGTGCAAGCGCCTGACGCCAACCTTGGGCATCGACAACTATGCCGTTGTGGACGTGGACAGCATCCTGAGCCTTGCACATGTGGTTCCGTGCTGCACGGACCCGAAGTACCGGCTCGTTAACCGGTTTCTTTTCTGAACCACCGGTTGCGCTCTTATTTATGCATGACTTTGTTTAAATTGACCTTGTCTTAGAGGTTGACGATTGAGTGACTCGTACTGAGCATGATACTTTTAGTTTGCAGCGACAACCATTCACAGTGCTCGCAGCAGGTGATGACCCCACTAATAATATATCAACAAACCCTATCATTTTTATTTCCCACACATGATATATTCCATACATAAACAATTACGTTCGAACATAACAAAAAAAACACAGGAGTGTACTACGATTGGACAGACGCTTATCGCTTTGAAATCATAGGGTTTAGAAATCGTAGCTTTTGCAAAACATACATTTTACATTTACACCCTGCCAAATGCTACGCGAACGTTCTGCGAATGGTATTTGAATGTTCTGCAGATAGTCGGCATCCTCGCTCCACCTCGAATGGTTTTTAGATTGCCACTTTTTTGCGATGGAGGAGGCCGAATGCTGGCCCTTTCGATCTAGTAAAAATAAGGAGATATGTTCTAAGCGGCCAGCATGTCGCGTTCAAGATCCAGAAAGGAGACACCATTTAAGGAGAGGAAGAAACGATTTGCTGGAGCACTTTGGAAGCCAGAGGTAGGGACACTTGGCAAAACTCTGAGGTGAATTGTGAAATAATTCGAAAAAAGATTCCCCTTTTCTGCTCTTTGTGTTCTGAGTTGGGAGTTGGAGTTGATGTCATCGCTCGGATGCTCTCTTGTTGGGTGTGAGCAGGAAGACAGGATCTTATTGGCCCATGTGGAGAAGTATGGCACAAACAATTGGGTGCTTGTCAAATCCATGGGCCTGCTGCCCACACGAGATCACAAGGCGTGCTGTAACCGCTACATTCTGCTCAAAAGGTAGTTATCCTTCGGTAATGCCGTGTGTTGATTGGCTTCTAAGAACCTTTTCTCAATTGCTAACCTGGCGTCACAGAGCCAGTGCAGCATCGTGCCATTGTTCACAACATCTCACATAGTCTCACATGTCCCATTGCCATACCTTCCATTGTAAGATCATGTTCCAGACTCCTTCGGAGTTCTCAGAAATGGTTCACGATAATGGAGTGCACCCACACCGCATCTTGGGGTTAACGTGGTTACCGTGTTACAATTACTTCACGCACCATTTCCCTTGCTGGCCATGTGTCGCCCATGATGTTCCCCACACTTATGTCTCATCGGTAGCTGAACGTCTCCATGTTATCTCCATTCGTGCAGGAAGCTGTCCGGGCTGCATCAGCTCACGCGTGACACGGACAAGCCTGACATGCCAATGGCCCCTGCCGTGCCCACCGTCCCTGCCGTGCCCACCATCCCTGCCGTGCCCACCATCCCTGCCGTGCCCACCATCCCTGCCGTGCCCACCATCCCTGCCGTGCCCACCATCCCTGCCGTGCCCACCATCCCTGCTGTGCTAACGGGGACTGCCGATGACGGCTTCACACGAGACACGGCGAGGGATGGAGTTGGGACGACGACGCCAGTTCAACACACTTCAAAAGAAAGAGATGGGTTTTTTCTCAGCGCCTCATGGGTTGCTGCTTCGCTATCTGCTGCTGCTGTGTCTCCTGGTCTTCCCGGCCAGCGAATTCCAGGAGTCACTTTTGATTCGCCCGCTGCTGGTGCTGATTCAGATGTGCTGTTGCGTACGGATGGGTTCATGAAAATCAGTGAATCCCTGCCGAAGGTAGATCCTACACCACCAACATCAGCTGCACCGGCTCAGTTTGCCCTAACGCCCTCCTGCTCAGCAATCACAGAGCACTCCTCCCCTCTTTCCGCTCCTCTTTCTGCCGCTCTTCCCGCCACCCTTCGTTCCGCCCCTCATCCCACCCCTCCTCCGATCCGTGTTACCACCCCTGATTCCGCATCTGTTTCCAGCCCTCTTTACTCCTTACAACGAACTTTGTGGCCCACAACAACCCTTCTTCATCTTCCACCCATGTTACCACCACCAGCTGCTGCTCCTCCCGCTGTTGCTACCACTTTTGCCAGCAGCAGTGACACACGTGGTTCTCAAGCCCTTTTTGGCTCTGCTGCTGCTGCTGCTACAGCTGGATTCAGTTACATCCAATCTGTCTCAACTGTAGCATCAGCTGACCATGCCGCCAATGCTGCGGCAGAGATACATCTGAGGCCAGATGAACTGTTTGAAGCACTGTACAATGGATCTGTCTCCAGGGTGGTATGGTGAAATAGCCTGGCATGATATGGCTTGAAATCAAATCGGATGGCCTGGCACGGCCCGGCATGGGATGGAAGCTTAGTGATCGTATGAAGCCAGGAGAGCCGTTTGATGAGTGGTGCGTTGGATTGGACTCTAGGGTAAGCCATGATGGTATTCCCTGGCAGGGCATGGTATCATAGGGCAGGCATCGCATGCCATGGTGATGAGTTGTAGTACGAGGAAGGGCGTGTTCAAAGAATACGCATTCTGTACAATAATGAAGCCGAGTAAGGTGACACACGGTTGTAATGCGCTTTGAACCTGGAGGCACCTGATACAATTGTAGATAGTGTACTTAGGTTGTACTAAGTGCACACTACAATATACTGTAGAAGATGGCTGAAGTGATATATTTTTTCAAATATGGATCAATAAGCACTCGAAAATTCCCAGAATATTTGAAGGTAACTCATGGCGAATGAAAGTCTGGTCTCGATCTACAATCTGATGTTGGTTCTTCACACTCCTACACGACATGTCAGAGTCACCCCCGCGATGGCAGAGTGGCCCACTTCTGTGTTGTGAAATAAATTGGCTCATTTCGGCTCAAACCAAGCCTGACAGGAGGAGGTTGTTACCCGGGATAAAAGTCCCTCCCACTCCCCACCACCCCAAAAAGACACGAGGTTGTGGAGTTACACCCTTGGGGTGTATGTATGAAAATTCCCTTTTCCTTACTGGGCTCGACTACAGCGCGTACGCCCTCGAATCTCGGAAGTCCAGGCTCGGCCAACTTCTTCGGTCCTGAACCACTTTGCGAACCCAAACCTCGACGCACGGCGCTTCCGTAGCCTTTGCCAACCGAACCGCCTCAACCTGTTCGCGTGGTCCTCGGCTAGCCCTGTTCGTGCCTATAAATGCCTAGGCCCTCATTTGCATTGACACTCTTGAATCACGACCCCTTTATTACACTACACGTTATTACTTTAATTTATTCATAACAGCTAGGATCAGAGCAGGGCCTATTTTATCAGAGTAATTTACTCTGTTTCTCTGAAAATCAGAGTCGTTTTTGAAAACTACTCTAAGTGCCTTGAGTAAAAAAATTGATGTTTTTTTTTACTCTGATTATATCAGAGTAACCATTTGTACCCCTCTGAGGGTTAGTGTACAGGGGGTATACCTATAGATTTCCCCTGTACCCTGTACCTGGCCTTGCCCCAATATCCCGCAATACGCGTCATTTTACGCGTACCGCCAGGCAGTGGCACGTCATATGCTGCCATCCTTGCCACTGCTGGCAGCATCCTTCGCGCTGGTTGGTCACGACTGCAGCATCACTGCAAGGCTGGCAGCAGTTCCCTCACCACCGCACGCCGACCTTAGCCACCATCCATGCATGCACGACCGACGTCACTCCCTCACCCACTCCGAGGCACCCCACAATTCACACACCCCCAAGAAGAGCAGACGAAACTCTCGTCTTGTTCAACCTTCCCTTCCTCCCCTTCACCAAAGCTATCTCTCACAACGTCCTAGCAGAAGAAAACCTCCGCTTACCTTCGCCGTCGCTGCCGCCCGTCGTCACTCGTGCCACTGCCGTCATGGCTGGCAGGAGTGAGCCCGACGATGGCGGTGGCGACGAGTCTGTCCATCTGCGAACTCCTAGATCGCTCCCTCTTAGCGGGCTCGACTTTCTCCGTCGAGTTGCTACCGCTCCAGTTGAGCCACAGCCTCTGCCTTCTCTCAGTAGTGAGGAATGGGACAGGAATTTGGAGGCTATGGTTGACGCTGGTCCTGTCGCCGAACCTTCAGTTGTACCTGTTGTCACTGCATCAACCCCAGCGTCCACATCAACGGCATCAACTCCTGCCTCAACTCCTGCGTCCGCCTCAGAAAAGAAGCGTCGCTTCAACCAGACTTATCTCCCGTTCGCGCCGCCTCCCCCTAAGTCTCCGCCACCACCAGAGCCAGAGCCCGTGCCACAGCAACTGCCTTCGGCTGCTTTAACCCCCGCCGAGAAGATGGCGAAGGCCTATCTTGCTGCGCAACGGAAGTACACTGCCGACTGGTTACCGAAATTCCCCTGGCTAGTGCTGGATAAGACTAACGATGGTGCACCTTGCTTGCGTTGCAGTATCTGCATGGAGCACGGCAAAGACCACGCACGATACGGGCGCAACGGTGCTGGTGGACGGGATCTCCAGATTGGCTCGATGCGTTGGCATGAGGAGAGCACAAGGCACGAGAACGCCGTCAGGAAGCAAGAGGCGCTGCTGAAGGAGTTAAAGACTTTCTGTCTTTCTGACTTTCTGAGCTGGAGTTAAAGACTTTCTGTCACATCATGAAGACGCACCGTGCTGATGACGACTTCGGCCAAGGCCTCGCCAACATGCTGAAGACGAGGGACTGGGCCAAAAGCTATCCGAATCTCATGAGGATCTGGCAGGCGATGGCGGTTCTGCCCTTGAGCACCGTCGAGTGCGAGCGCGGTTTCAGCAGGCAGAACGCCGTCAAGAGCTGGCTGAGGACGACCCTGTGTGATGCAAGACTCGGCGACCTGATGACCATTAGCCTCCTGGAGTACGACATGGACTACCCTGAGATCGTGGAGATCTGGAGACGCCAGAAGAACCGCAGACAGGCAAAAGTGGTGGCTTATGAGAGGAGCAGCGATGCTGCCAAGGGCAAGGAGCATGATGAGTCAGAGGAGGATAGTGGCTCTTGTGAGAGTGCCTCAGAGGGAGACGAGGATGAGCATGGTGACTAATGTATGTATGTGTATTTGAAATGGAACGTACGTCTATCCGTCTATCACAAAACCTTTGTCGGGGTGCATAACAGCAGCACAGAGTTGTGGAAATTTCCCCTCTGCACTATCAGTGTAAATTTTTCAAAATGGAAAAAAACCCTGGCAAATCAGTGAAACTATGAGGATGCACTCTGATTTTCAGAGTAATGCTAAATGCAACTCCCCAATATCAGAGTAGTAAAAATCCAAAAGTAGGCCCTGGATCAGAGCCCCGTTCCTGCCCGCTTAGTTTTCCGTAAAGTAGTCCGTTTATATCAGGAGAGGGCCCTATAGAATAGAGGGTTGGCCAGCGGTTGATAGGTGAGCTCGTTAATGCTCCTCCAGCTAGAAGCGTGTGCACCCTCAGATCAGTCAGGTAAAATTTCCAGCATGCCTAACACGCCGGAAACCTCTGCCCGTCGTAGTATTAGGAACGTGACTCTGGAGGAGTTTCTCTGGAGGAGTTTGACGAGTTACAAGCTAGGGTGGCTACAGTGATGACACTATAGGCCCAGCTTCAACAACTAGCCGATAAATTCAAGACGATGGGAAGTGAAGTGCAGACGCTGCGCGATGAAAACTCGTCACTTCGCCAGGCGCGGGGTGAAACGCATCAAGGGCGGCCTGTTACCCGAGACGAAGATGCTGCGAACAAAGCGAGGGCGTCGGCGACACCTGGAGCTTGTAAAGAAATCCACGACAAGCCGCGGGCGGCCATTAAAATTAAACCACCCATGCCGCAGCCGTTCAACCCGACCGACAAATCCAGTACAGTGAGCGGTTGGTTGTTCGCCATGGAATTTTTCTTTACACTAGCAAGTATTAATGACAACGCTCCACGTGTGAACTTGGCTGTGGTGCTGCTGAGGGGACCGGCACTCGACTGGTGGCGCATGCATTTGGACGAGGGAGGAGCCCAGCAGGAATGGGCGGTAGATGGGGAGCAAGGTTTATCAATGGCACAGACAAAACCGATCTTTAGGTCGGCACGGATCCGCACATGGAAAGCGTGGGACGAAGCATTGAAGAACAGCTTCGAGCACATATCCATGAAAGAAAACGTTCGCACAAGGCTTCAAATGTGGCGCCATTTGGGATCTGTCCAAAAGTAACGGCATCGTTCCTGTCGCTCTGCGATCAAATCGACGACCTTAGCGACGACGAAAAAAATGATAACTACGTGGGTGGTCTCAAGCCGGAGATTCAGCAAGAGATCGTCCTGCGCTCCCCGACGACCTTCAACAAATTGTTCGCATAGCAGATGCACTGGACACGCGACGTGGACTCATAAGGGCGGGTTTTCGGGAGGGAAACCGTTTTTGAGGCCAGCACCAACCCACATCAATCAACGGCTTGGAGGTATTTGCAGCCCGGGTTTTTTAAGGACGTTGTTTCAACTGCAACCAGTCGGGCCACATAGTGAAGGACTACCCGGAGCTGAAGAAGAACTTAGCTAACGATGGGAGGCAGTCGGGAAACGGAGACAGTCAGTAGCTAATGGGCCACCTACTAACTTGACTGGGTTGCCAAAACGCCACCACCCCCACCAGGTTATAGTGCCGATTTGGGCTATCGACCATTCCTGGCTGAATAAGGGGGGTCAACCGGTTGATCACCCCGTGCTGGCTGAAGGGAGAGTTGGCGACACCCGAATCAAAACATTTGTTGATGGCGGGGCGAGCCACAGTTTGATGGATGTGACAAAGGTGAAGAAACTTCGATTGCAGCTGGAGCGCTGCATGCCCGAAATTGACGCGAGGTTGGTTGACGGCACCCCACTGGCGATTCGGGAGCGCGTGCCTTACGTGCGAGTCACCTGTGGCGAACATTTTAACTTTACAACGAATATGCTGGCGACGACCCTAGATGGGTGTGACATGCTGCTGGGGCGTGATTGGCTACGCGAGGACAACCCGAGCATCGATTGGCGGACGGGCGATTATCGCATCAAGTGGAGTGGCGAGTGACATCGACAAACTGTGCGCAGCTGTCCCTGATGATTTGGCATCGATTATTAGTTAGCATTATGATATTTTTCCGGATGACCCCCCTGCAGGCTTGCCACCTTGCGCCCGCACGACCACAAGATCGAGCTCGAACTCAGTGCGCAACCGACTGTTCGGAACCAGTGGCTGCTGACCGAGCCAGAGTTGGATGAACTTTGACTTCAGCTGGACTACGTGCTCGAAAAAGGATTCGTCCGAACCAGCACCTCTCCGTTCGCTGCCCCGATCCTAATCACCCCGAAAAAAAATGGCGGATTACGAATGTGTACCGACTACCGCGCCTTGAATCAGGTTACCATCAATTCCCGCTACCCAATTTCGCGTGCCGACGAACTCATCGACCATTTTCGTAGAGCTCGGTTTTTCTCAAAAAATGACATGCAAGGCAGTTACCACCAGATTCGCGTGGATGAAGCTGATTGCTACAAGGCGACGTTTCGGACCCGGTACGGAAGTTACGAGTACACCGTTATGCCATTTGGCTTTAAAAACGTGCCATCGACATTTCAGCTGACCATGAATGAAAATTTCCGGCCACTGATAGATAAGTGCGTCATCGTGTACCTCGATGAAATCCTACTCTACAGCACTACCTGGGAGCAGCATTTGAAGGATTTGGAATTCGTTTTCTCCCTCGTGCAGGAGAATCGCCTCATCACCAAAGGCTGTAAGTGCGAGTTTTTAAAACACGAAATGGGCCATGTCATCTCCATCGACGATCCAGAATTGGAAGCCGGCAGCTGATCTACTCAAATTTCAGAGCTTTCTAGGGTTTGTCAATTACGTCCGCCGGTTCATCCCGAACATGGCGGGGGTAACTTCCCCTCTGACGGATCTCCTGAAGAAGGGCACAGTTTTTTGAGTGGGGGGGAGAGCAGCAGGCTGTGTTCGAAAAGCTCAAAATTTTCATCACTACACCTCCGGTTCTTCGGATTGCGGATCCTCACCATCCATTGGAGCTCATCACCAATGCTAGCGATTTGGTTATTGGCGCAGTACTGTTACAAGACTTCGACGAAGGTCTACAACCCATTGCCTACGAGTCATGAAAGCTGAGCCAGGTCGAGCGAAACTATCCTGTCCACGACAAGGAGTTACTTGCCATCGTTCACGTTTTCAAGGTTTGGCACTGCTACCTGACTGGTGCTGACGTGACAGTCTGGACAGACCACAAGTGTCACATGATCGAATTTGTCGAGGAAAAGTTGCACTATCGATTGGTACAAGGCGCTTTTATACTTCCGAGGTACATCAGGTAACCAGGTTTATCCTATCCAAAGGGAATAGACCCTTCTAGAAATAGAATCACCCTGCTTATAATCACGCGAGGCTATTGGCTTAAAGGGATTACGACAAGATTACGCTAGATATAGCGCGCCAGTATATGCCGAGCCTGGTCGCTAATATAATTATAATAAAAGGATAACCCAAAGAATAATGAGAAAGGAGGAATAGGAAACCAAATGGGATGTGATAAAGATCGAAGGAATCAGGATCAAAAGAAGAATGAGATAGAGGAAAAAGATGAGAAGTGTAATGGGGTTGTACTCTTACACTTCCCCCCTTCAAAGCTGGGTGGTAGAAGTAACACCATGCTTGACAAGGTAGTCGCGAAGAGGACGACGAGCGTTACCCAACTATCCTCAGAATGATCATAACCCTTCCAACGAATGAGAAGTTCTACAGTGCCATTCCGACGACGACGGTGTGCAACAATGGACTCGACCTCGTACTCGGGTTCATCGTGGACGAGGACGGGCGGCGGCGGTTGGCGTCCGGTGAAGACCGTGTTCGGATCTTGATATGGCTTCCGAAGTTGGACATGGAAGGCGTTGTGACACTTCCAGGTAGCTGGCAGGCGTAAGCGGAAGGTAACAGGAGTGACCTGTGCTTCGACGAGAAATGGCCCGCAGAAGCGAGGTCGTAGTTTGGATGGGAGATGACTGATGTCGAGATTGCATGTGTCGAGTAGAACCTGGTCTCCCACGGTGATGGTGTGGTCAGTGTGGTGGCGATCGGCCTGAAGCTTCTGTTGCTGCTGAATGTTGAGGAGGCGCTTGTGGGTCCGATCCCAAAGCTGATGCACTGTCGTGATGAAGTCGTGTATGGGTTGGACTGTGGCTGATACGGTCGGCTTCTGTGGCATGAGCAGGTGGCGTCCGTAACAGAGGAAGAACGGCGTCTGTCCAGTAGTGGCGTGAGTGGCGTTGTTGTAGGCAAACTCCAGGACGGGCAGATGCAAGTCCCATTTAGAAATTTCGTCTTTGCATGCTGCGCGGAAGAGTTGCTCTACAATTTGGTTGAGGCGCTCGGTCTGTCCATCTGTCTGCGGATGGTAGGTGGATGACATGGCGAGTTTTTTCCCGAGCAGAGACATCAGTTCCTTCCAGAACTTGCTGGTGAACTTCGGGTCTCGATCAGAGATGAGTGTGGTTGGGATGCCATGTTGTGAGATGATGTTGCGAACGAATAGTTGTGCTGTCTCTTCGGTGCGTGCTGTCGTGTGTGTCGGCATGAAGTGTCCTATTTTGGAGAATTTGTCGATGACGACGAGGATTGCGTCATGACCACTTGTGGTAGTTGGTAACCCGGCTATGAAATCCATGCTAACCACTTGCCATGGCTGTTCTGGGATAGGAAGAGGCTGTAGCAGTCCTGCCTTTTTCTACTTACTGCTCTTCATCCGCTGACATGTAGTACACGAGGTGACAATTTTTTTGACGTCATCTGCCATCTGGGGCCAGTAGTAGTGCTTTGCAATACCGGTGAGCGTTTTGTTTGTTGCTACCGAAGTGTCTCGTGTATAGGACATCGTGGTATTCTTCGAGTAGTAACTGGCACAAAGGAGGGTAAGTGGGTACCCATATTTTCGTTGATACCTTCCGGTACGCGATGCCACTGTCCCACTGTAGCAGGTGTCGCTTTTCTACCAAAGGAATTTCGGGGTCAATGGCGTACCCGTGTGTGAAGAGTCCCTTGAGTAGTGGGTTCATCCCTTCGATCTG